GTTTGATCTGCCCGTGTGTCCTCCGGCATCGGAACCACGCCCGGCCGTCAGGCTCCCTTGCAGTCAGGCCCGCCGACACCCTCAGGAATTCTGACCAGGGTATGTGGACGTTTCTCTTCCGTCCAGGCTGGGCCTTTGTTCTCACAGCCGCCCTGTAGCACGGACCCCCGGCTCCATCCCGAAAGCAGCGTTGTTTGGCCCTACTCCTCCACGTCACCTTGGATAGTGACGGTGAGTCGGCAGGACAGGTCCCTCGCCCCCCCGGCCCGTGACAGCAGCGCCGGGGCCCATGTGACAGGTGTGCTGGGTTTGTTAGTTGAGTTTTGTTGGCTGCGAGGCCCTGCCAAACTGGCGGCGGCGGCTGAATCCCCGCCCTGACGTCTGACAGGTGAGCTCCTCGCTGTGTTTCTGTCTCCTTAATTGTCCCCCGCGGTCCCACGTCCCCCACAGCTGCGCGGGTCAGTCGCCTCAGCCCCATCTCTCCAGCTGCCCGGGCTTGGCTCCAGTCCCCCCCCACCTCCTCTCCCAGGGGCGCTGGTCCCAGCAGGCCAATGGGCTGAGGTGTGGCTGGTGCGGAGGCGTGGCCAGGAGACGGTTACCGCGGTTACCGCATGCTGAATGGTCCTGCGCTGCCTGGAATCTTAGACCCTCAAGAGCGAATTCAGCTTCCAGGGGAGCTTTGGGAATACATTCTAAAACGCCAGCGCTGGAGTTGGGCTTGTGAACGAGACCCTCCTGTGTTTACACTGAGGGTTTGCTAGCGATTTCATTTCTCCCAAATGAAACAGAGACACTCAAACGAAAACAGGAGTGCTCTGGACATAGGGGACACTGGGAAAGCGATAGATCAGCCTGAAATAGCCAGAATTTCCAGGCCGTGTGGGGAATACCACACTGCTCCCCCGGACGCTCCATGACGATGGGGAGCGCAAAGGTGACTGTGGCGCAGACCAAGCAGAACCCTGTAATCGCCGGGCTGTTTTCGGGCCCCGTCATACGCAGCAGCCGCCAGGTAAAGTGCCAAGCAGGCTGGTTGTTCCTGGGAGGGAGTCCTGAGTCCGGGGGGGCGTCTCGCTCCCTGGCACGGGCTTCCCGGCGTGCCAGCTGCGTCTGGCTAGTGCCACTTCCCGGGGCCGTGGCTCACCAGCCGGATCCCCCCCCCCACCCCCACCCTGCAAGTTCCTGGCACGTGGCCCTGGGGAGGGACTCGCCACCACCTCGCCGCTAATTAGCTGCCCCACGTCTCAACCTTCCACCAGTATCCGTCAGCACAGCTGAGACACCCCCCCCCCCCCCAACACGTGCAGGTTTCATGTGGATGTTGGACACTGTTCATCTTCACCCCCCATTAAGTTACCCGTATTATATTATATCCCTCAACATGGAAGGGCCCCTCCACCACTGAAGAAATGTAGGGTCCCCTTTAGTCATCCAGAGATGACTTAAGGACATGGAGGTCATAAAAAGTGTGGGGAAAATATCCCATGCTGACCACCCGCCTGTTGTGGTGGGGGGGGGGGGGGGGCAGATATAGGTTACAGAGCTGAGAGCTGAATATCCTTTCTTTAGGCTTCTGTGCCGAACCTCCTCAAAGCTACCATGTTACTGGCACAACACTGCCATCCAGAGATGACGTCGGGTATTGCCGCTACACACCATTAGCTAACGGTTACCATGCACCGAGCCTCCAGTACGTGTCTATTATTTTTGTCGATAACGATGAAAATGAACAGTATAGATACACCCACGGCGTTTCCAGATTTGCCCGCTGTCCGCTTTGTATGGAAATCAGCGCACGCCGTCGACGAGCTGTTACATAGCCAATAGGATCACTCGTGTTGCTGCCTGTTTATTGGCATGAGGTATCGGACGCGCACCCAGCGCCCCTCATGTGGTAGTCGGGCGCGTGTTCCACCGCCTGCTTGGGGTAACGATTTTCAATAGGTCTGGCTTTCGGCTGCAGCTTCACTTCAGTCAAGCGTCTATCGATTTCGGGCAGTAGCTACCTCCCACAATGCCACGCTCCGGGGAATGGGGCGCGGAGGCTGGGGGCCGGGGGAGTCGTACATTCTGCTGGTGTCCAAGTGCTGGCTTCTGGGCGGCCCATCCTCCAAGGAGGTTGGGTTGGGAGGAGGAGGGGGCTGAGGTTTGCACACGGCCCCCTGACTTTGAGGTGCATGATGGGAAGGCGGCACACCTTGGGGACGGGCGACAGCAGGCGATGGGTGGGCGGGTCGGTCTGATCGCCCAGGAAATGTCTCCATCACGCCGGCCGCGCGGTTGCCAGGGATGTGGCGTCAGGGGCCAGCCTAAACAGGCAGGCGGTGGCGCGGTGGGCGGGGGGGTGCGGTGCCCAGGCCTGTGTAATTGTTAGGTGCTCAGGTGTGCGGCTTGTTTACCGGGGAGTGCCGCGTGTCGCTCAGCGCCCCGGAGCCCGGTCCGCTGTTGTTCTGTGCCGGAGATTACAGAGCCTAATCATTAGCCCAGATAAAGCACAGCTGATGCCAGGCCTAACCCCCTTCGCTCCTAATTAGCCCCATTAACAAGCTCCCCTGATCTCCGCAGAGGGGGCTGTCTCTCCGGGAGCACAGGTAAAAATACCTAACGCAGGTACAGCCCCCGCGTCTGCAATAGCAGCACCTGCGGTCGGCCTGGCACGCACAAACAAGCGGCATACTTAGAAGCAGGGTAGAAGCCCATGGGCCCAGACCAGCGATCACCAGTGCCCCCTGCCTGTAACTCCTTGATCTGTCGGCCCGAGGAAACGGGGAGAGGGGTGGTTCTTAGCCTCTATGTCCCTACCAAGATGGTGGGGTCTCACACAGGGGAAGTGTACCATGTAGGCTGGGTCTCTCTCCCGGGAAGTGTCACTGCCCTTGGGTGAAGGGGTCCCGTTGCCCCGGCAACAGCTAGAAGCAGACACCCTTCCTCTTGCACGGCGGCCCAGGGCCTCGCGTACGCAGGGCTGCATGCGGCAACAGTTCCTCCCTGCCCCAGCCAATCGGCAAGTGCATTTCAAAGGCTGCGATTCAGTCTTTGTCAGCCTGTGAAAAACTGAAAGTTCAGCACCCTGTGTTAGATGAAGCTGAAACACCACTTCCCATACGGACACGTGGTGAAAGAAACTTGCTGCTGTTTTAGCTCTATGGGTTAGTGATTTGTCACACTTTTGTTCAATCATGTGACCTGCCTGTTTACAGTCTGTGTGACCAAAGCATGCAGATGAGAGTGGATTGCGGTCATTCAATGTACTTTGCAGGGGGGTGGGGCTGGGGGCCCAGCTGGAAAGGCAGTGTGGAGAGCGAGGCCAGTGTGCTCGGAGCAGTCCCAGGGAGCGGGGCCCCCATCGGGCCCCCGTCAGGCCCCCCGGCTGGGAGGACAGGCCGCCCATCTGCTAAGTGTCACAGGGAGTTAGCGCACAGCCGTCCTCCCGCGGACACCCCCCGGACCTGCCGGCCGACTGTCGCCAGGACAACCCGCGTGCACGCACCGCTAGCCAGCCGGCCGGCCGAGTACCCCGTCCCCCCCCCCCCCCCCGGGCAGGGTAGTATCTATTTAGTATCAGACTCCAGGGGCAGTTCCTCCCAAAAAGGTGCTAGCTGGAGACTGCCACCCCTACAATGGCGCCACCTGCTGTCCAGCAGAGGCCACCAGCTCTCTCAAGTCCAGTGTCAAGAAAATTGCTGGAGTACCCAAAAGGTCATGGGTTTGAATTTTAGGATACCTGTATTTAGGCCGGGAACAGGGCCCATATGATGCCAAGACCCACTCAGCGGCAAGAAACATCCAGAACCCGGTGGCAGACTGGCGACCGCAAAGTCACATGGGTAACTGACACAGGGAACCGTCCTGACACTCAGCTCATTATGGAAATTTATGACTATTGATTAAAGACTAACCTCTCTATTCTCCCCTGGGGCTGGGTGACCATGCTTTTCACTGCACACTGTGTATATCACAAATAAAATTTTGATTTGATTTCACTTAAGCAGAAATGATTAATAAACATAAATTTATATACAAGCTGGTATATAAACAAAGGAGATGTAGAATGAAGCAGATAAAATTAGCAGAGATTACAGACATCGTGTGTGTGTAATGGGGGGCAGCCATCGCCAGACTCCACATGACAGGACAACCTCACTGGACTCACGTTGCCTTCATCTAATAGGTTAAGGTTCCCAGATATCTGAGTACTGGGCTACTAAGGTCATCGGTCACTCACACCTACAGCCTGATTAACATTAGCGCTTCAAATTGATGCACATCAACCAATCAGCCGACGCCACCTTTGTGTCCCGCCTCATAACAAGTGCCGATGAGATTTATATCATATTTCATTGAATTAGTTGATCACATCTATTATTTTTTTTTGTTTCGTTTCCTCGCAGGACATGCTAACTTTTAGCCTAGCCTAGTGTTCCGGTACGTTAAAGAATTAGAAGCGAATCATGCGGTTATTAGCATTTTGCTGCGTTAATTGGTGTGTAACTGTTGCTGAGAAACCACCTCAGTTAGATGAGTGAAATATTACCGCTGGCCCCCGTAAATGGCTAGGAAAGCTAACAGCGTGCACATCTGCAGGTGTGGAGCAGGACTAGCACTGCCGCCCATCCCTGACAATGCAGCGTCTTGCTGCATCTTACACAGTAGCTTCTTGTCCAATACAGAAAGATCCCACACTGTCGGGCTCGACTCTGGTCCACACACGCATGCACATGCATTCACATGTATGTAGCAGTCTTATTGCCTTGTAAATATACTATAGCGTTTGCAAACCACCCCAATGCTTTTTATGTATTTAATTTTAGGTTTATAATGGAATAATATAGATTTACCGTAAGATTGCTTGCCCGAGTGTTAGAGTCTGAATGCGTCACGGCAGATGCGTGAGAGTTACAGACCTTTATTATAAGGGATGGCTGGTGACCGTAAGCAGGACCTTCTGCAGAACTTCACCAACCAGCATGAACGATATAGAGTACCCAGCCAGAGATCCCTAACAGCTGTACTGTGAGCATCTTTAATGTCATACTGGACCTGCTGGTGGACACGAAGAAGCAGAGAGCAGAGGTGACCCTGCATGCAAGAGGAGAACCAGCAGGTCCCCAGATGGATAACCAGTCATGGTTTGGGCGGGTGGGTTGAGCTCTGAGGTCGAGGGGACAGACTCAAGATCTCCACGACGACAGCAGGAGGCAGGGCATGGGATCGACCCAGTGAGATGCATCTTGCAGCAGCACGGCTTCCTCATCCTGCACCCTGGAATATTTGGGAAGAGAGAATACGGCCATTTCTGAGCAGCCGGGCCTGACAGGTGAGAACTTCATTCGAGTGGCAGTCGTCTGTTGAATGGAGGGGGAGGGGGGGGGGCGTCCTGTACGTAAGGCCTCCGAACGACGTTGATGACTAATTATCGCGGAACCCAGTGGCGTCCCGCCCACGAGCGGCCCATCGCCGCTCCAGCGTGTCTGCGCTCTCCAAGGAGGCCCACGGGAACCCTGCACCCGCCTGCCGTCCATCGCCTGTCCCCCTCACCGGATGTCACATGCACTGTCCTCCATGTCCCCCCTGTCTCTGCCCCCCCCCCAAATCCACGCATTGTCCTGAGATTAATTAAACGCCGCGTCTGGGCGGCTCCGTCAGAGCAGCCGTCAGCTCCCCCGGGCCTTGGCAGACAGCGACTGGTGGGCGTCAGGGACCGGCCGGCTAGCGCTCCCAGAAGGCGGCAGAGCGCGGCGCAGGATCCGGCGGAGCGTCAGCCCGGCGGCAGGCCACAACTGACAAGGCGTCAGCGCTCCTTATTTACGGCCTCCGCCGGGTCCCGGCGCCGCCGCCAGCGCGGTATTATTAGCCGCTTACGCTAAAGAGCCGCACGTCAATCTCCAGAAAATCACCCTCCCCCATGCTGCCCCGTCCCTCTCCCACAATCCCTCCGCCGATCTTTGCATCATCTCCACCCTCCAGCAGTAACACGGTGCGGCCGCCTTGGGGTCAGCACCTCCCCGCCCACCAGGGCCAGACGGGGGGGGGGTCTCGGTGGACGACGCCCCTAAACTGAGACACACTATCAAAGTGACAAATATTTGCATAGCGAGTTTTCTCACGGGTGGAGAGGTGAGCGCTATGGCGTGTTAATCAGCCTAGCCACCGCGAAGCTAGAGCAAGGGAAGGTGGGGGGGGGGAGAGAAATCGCACTCTGCTTTCTGTCTGCTCTACGTGACAGATTCAATATTTACGGACGGGGGTCGGCAGAGGCTTCACCCGCCCCAGCTCATTCAGCCCAATTTGTTTTCTGTCTTTATTTCCCTGCTCCCATGCAAAGTCCATCACAGGCACACACTCCCGCCGTCAGACACAGTCCATCACAGGCACACACTCTCTCCGTCAGACACAGTCCATCACAGGCACACACTCTCTCCGTCAGACACAGTCCATCACAGGCACACACTCCCGCCATCAACACAGTCCATCACAGGCACACACTCCCGCCATTAGACACAGTCCATCACAGGCACACACTCCCGCCATTAGACACAGTCCATCACAGGCACACACTCCCGCCATTAGACACAGTCCATCG